CAATGGAAAACCCCAAAACCCTCAAAAATATAGTTATCCATTTTGCTTAATTTACAGGACTGATCAATACTGAATAACCACATGAGCATAGATATAATTTGCGTAAACTTTAACGCCAGGAATGAAATTCTCCAGCGACTCACCCATGATCACAAGAATAAAAAGCTTCCACCACCGACTCACCCATGATCATAAGAATAAAAAGCTTCCACCCCCGACTCACCCATGATCGTATATTCCCCACACCAACTCACCCATAATCACTACTATATAATCTTCCACCACCCACTCACCCATGACCTGAAGTATAACATTTTCCACAAGCGACTCACTTATGATCATAAATATAAAAGCTCCCCCTACCGACTCACCCATGATCATAAGTATAAAATATCCCACCACCGACTCATCCATGAACATAAGTATAAAAGCTCCCCCTACCGACTCACCCATGATCATAATAAGTATAAAAACTCCTCCTATCGACTCACTCATGATTATAAATTCCCCCTACCGACTCATCCATGATCATAAGTATAAAAGCTCCCCCTACCGACTCACATATGATCATAAGTATAAAAACTCCCCCTACCGACTCACCCATGATCATAGGTATAAAAACTCCCCCTACCGACTCACCCATGATCATAAATTCCCCCTACCGATTCATCCATAATCATAAGTATAAAAGTTCCTCCTACCGACTCACCCATGATCATAAGTATAAAAGCTCCCATCAACCACTCACCCATGATCATAAGTATAAAAGCTCCCACCACCCACTCACCCATGACCAAAAGTATAATTATTATAATTTCCCACCAGTGACTCACCCATGTTCATAAATTCCCCCTACCGACTCACCAATGATCATAAGTATAAAATTTCCCACCAGCGACTCACCCATGATCATAAGTATAAAAGCTCCCACCACCATGATGACGGTTTGGATGAAGTCAGTCCAGATGACAGCCGTCAGACCACCTGGCGAGGACAGAGATCATACAGGACGGGGTTATTGTTTGAGATAGTCAAAATGAAACGTATGTTTTTGAGATATTATGTACTTATTACGCGCTTAAGACGTACTATGTATGTTTTCTCTCTCTCTCTCTCTCTCTCTCTCTCTCTCTCTCTCTCTCTCTCTCTCTCTCTCTCTCTCTCT